AGAGAGAGTGTGTGTGTGTACATGCATGCGTGTGAGTGCGCACGCATATGTGTGTTTGTAAATGTTCGTGTTCATGTGCTTGTAGCTCACACTTAGAGGGATTGTGATACTGTGACACCACCTTGATTGAGGGGCTGTAATACTCTCAGACTAAGCTAAGTGGATGAGTATAATTAACTTTTGTATGTGCTGGTCACTCAAGTAACAATTGAGTTACTTGTGTAACTCAAGCTGTGACAAGGTGAAATTGTGATGGTTGGGATCTTATGCTTAACTGTTGAACCAAATCCTTCTGAACTAAAGACAACTGGCCCGAATATTCTTGGTTCATTTACATGGGCATACCCTTTCTTTACAGTTTTTCTGTATAGCAAGTTTAACACTTGTACAGTAGACACTGTTTAAATATTTATTAAAGAAATGAATGAAATGCTTTGTCTTCCATCTGGTCATTTACATGGGCATACCCTTTCTTTACAGTTTTTCTGTATAGCAAGTTTAACACTTGTACAGTAGACACTGAATAAATATTTATTAAAGAAATGAATGAAATGCTTTGTCTTCCATCTGGTCAAGGTGGCTCACATCACACAACCTGAATCTCATTGTGCCACGGGAGGCTCTCAGTCACATCAGTTATTGATATCTCTTCCTCTTTGTATGGTTCTAGGATGAAAAGGTATAATAACACTATCAGCTCCAGTCTAAGTAAGGTCCCCTGTTATTCTCTGCATGATCTGCTTAATGAAATAACCTTGGGATTATGAAAAAATAAACTCGAACCCACTCAGATGCTAATAATTGGTGATTTATTCACACCTGTGCAGGGGGCCGTTGTTCTGAGACAAGTGGCCCCGAAGTGCAGGATTTTTTGTCTTTTATACCTTTTTTTCTGCATAGCTTAAGTGAGCAAGGTGGCAGACAAGGTATGTTGCAATTGGCTGGGTTACAGCTTGGTTGTCAATGGATACCTCTCAAATCACAATGGTTATGATTATATAACAATAATTGATTAATGGCTACATCTTAAATCACAATCGTTATGGTTATACAACAGTAATTAATCAAGTTTTCCACCATTGTTCATCTACTAAGAACTTGGGGGTTTTGTGAAACTCGGGACTTCCTGTGCCTCTTTGAATTCTGGAGAGTATGGGAACCTGGCAGGGAAGGACCTTAGGGTAAAGGAGGGGGGAACAGGAGAGGGCAGGGGGACCCCGGGTGGGGAACAGGAGAGGGCAGGGGGACCCCGGGGAGGGGG